TGTCTCTGAAGGAGTTGTAGAGTGGGACTGGAGCAATCCGTAGAACACTGGGCTCTCTCATGTCACAAACAACTCCCCTCTTTTCCAGCTCCTGGAAGACTCTCCTTATGGGGACAGAGAAGGAGAGTGACAGCTGGCAGCCTCTCTGTTGAGGGTCTGAGGGTGTGATGAGGTGGACGTGAGGCTTGGACAGATCCTTAGTGTAGAAGTATTTAATCAGGTACTCCAGGTAGCCAGTAAGGAGTACAGATTTGCTGCGCAGTGCCTGCATATTGGTCATGTTAAAGACCTCCAAGCTGGCCTGCAGGGAGCAGACAAGAAGAATTGGTTGGTTTGACAGTCTGAAACCTCTCACTCCAGGCTGCAGCTCCATCACATTAGTCATCTGGAAGCGGGTYGTCAGGTCATGTCCCCACCATCCCAACAGCGTTGGCTTTATAGTGTCTTTGTGTTTTTCATGAACAAACGCCCCAGCAAGTCCACCAGCGCCTGAATTTAAATACTTGTAGGAGCACCAGCAGGCAAAGTCAACGCCCCAGTCATGCAGCTTCAGGTCAACATTTCCTACAGCGTGGGCACAATCAAATCCYACAAAACAACCCTTTTTGTGTCCAGCCTCTGTGATGGCACGCATATCAAACAGTTGGCCGGTGTAAAACTGAACTCCGCTGAACATCACCACAGCGATGTTGTCTCCCTCCTTCTGAATCACCTCCAGGATGTCCTCAGTCCTCAGGGTGTCTTCTCCCGGTCTTGGAGACAGCAACATCATGCTGAGCTGAGGGTCAAATCCTCTCAGGCGGATCTGAGACTCTACGGCATAATGATCTGAAGGGAAGGCCTTGTCCTCCATAAGGATTTTGTGCCGCATTGTGTTCGGTTTGTAGAAAGAAAGCAATAGAAGATGTAGATTTACTGTTAGACCGTTCATCAGCGCTACTTCCTCAGTTTTTGCTCCAACAAGGTTTGCCATGAGCTCYTCTATGGTGTTCTCAGCCCATGCCCATGGTCTGGATCCTTCTGTGTGACCTTGGACCCCGAATCTGGCCCAGTTGCCCAGCTCTTCTTCCAGATATTTCTTAACCATTTTGGGTTGAAGTCCAAGTGAATTTCCCGACAAGTATATGCAGTCTTTGCTTCCATCCGCCACAGAGAGATCAGAGTGAGGCAGATCTGAGACTTTGGGTACCAGAAAGTTCTCCCTGAGATGACTTAGTTTGTCGTGTTTGTCAAAATATTCAGCCACTTCTGCAGAAGTTGAGTCACAGCCAAGCAAGGCCGCTGCTTGCACCACTGCCTCTCTGGGATGTAATCCAAGAAAGTGTTCCATTGTTAACCTTCAGAAGGAACCAACAAATCAGTTTAACAACATGAATTCGTAAGGATTTAAATGAAAAGAATGTAACCACTACAGTCCTGAAATGCCAATAAATAAGAACCATTAAACTGTAAGGAGGGGTAAAGATCTTACAGAGTAAAACATGTTTTTAAAWAAGTCAGTGACTGAAAAGGCTTTAAATTGTTTAACTGTGCAGTAAAAGTTGTAACTTACAGTGGGTGAAAACTCCCCAGGCTTGTCTGCTTGTATGTCTGCTGTCAAACGATCTTTAACCCTTTTGAATGCCGTCTCTTGTTAATAATTGTCCACTTGACCTGATTTCTGACTGCTGATTTAAAGACTAGCAGCTTAACATAGATCGGACTGATTTGACAGTTTGCATTCAAACAGATCCAATATGCTTCCCCCTTTTTTGTGGTTTCACTTTCAAGTGTGAAAATGTCAGTGTGAAATTATTGTAGCACAATTCTTTCTGTGTCAGAGTTTACACAGGGTTTTCAGTAGGATTGTAGAGATTATCGCCCATTCATAAACTGGGTAAACTGGTCTTTATGCAGCATAGGAAACAAAGGGACCCAGATGAACCACAGCCATATTGAAAGCTTTATTTAAAAAAATTTAGTGGCAGCTGCAGGGCCGGATTAACACTTCCCTGTACCCTGGACAACAATATTCAAGGGCCCCATCATCACGACCCCAGGATTAYCAGTCTGGCAAAATACAGAGTAAAATACACTGCTATGTCCTCTTGTCAAGGACACTCCTTCACATGATGCTATGAAAACAAAACACATCAATGTAACCTGGTAAACATGACCCACTACACTGAGATCGAGGGAAGTGTCCTTCATTTTCACAAAAGCAACGCTTGACATTAGGCAACCCTCTCAG